TGTGTGTGTGTATGTGTGTGTGTGTGTGTGTGTGTGTGTGTGTGTGTGCGTTTCGAACAATAAAAAATATTAAAAAATTAATAAAAATTTAAAATCTACAGACACACTGGGTTGTATATTAATATTCTTTCATTTTTATTATTTCAATTAGATTCCTTGACTAGTCTTGGCCAGCATGCCCATCATCAGGAGAGAAAAAATTTTCTGCTTGTTAGGAGCAGTGAACTACAGAAATAAATAACTTGGAGAAAATGAAATTTATCTGTAGTTTTCATTTGTTTTTTTATTTTTTTATCATAAATTTTGGTCAGTCATTGTGTTGGTCAAACAGTCTCTTTTAAGTTGTTATTTAAGATAAGGGCTGGATGCATTCATGCTGCTCTGAATTCCCTTGATCATTTTGACAGTTTTATTGGTTCCTGGAAAGGGGATGTGTCTCTGTTAAGTGTGTTATTTGGTTCTTAGTGAGTGAGTATGATGTGTGTAAGTGTGTATATTAGTACGGGTGTGTGTTATCATTTAACGCTTTAAGGAGTAAGTGAGTATGATGTGTGTAAGTGCATATATTAGTATGGGTGTGTGTATAAGTATGAGGCCTCAATGTCTCTGCAAACATGTCTGTCTTGTGTGGGTGAGAAATCTGTGTAGGGCCTGATTTGTGGGGTTATATATTCTATCTATGTTGTTAAATTTGTGATTAAGCCCATCTAGATGGAGTGTTTTTAGGTGCAGAATCCACTTATCTTCATGGTCTTCTCAAATTTTTTCTAATGTTATCTGCTCTGAACTTTTCTATTTTCTCAATTATAGCAAATTTGGCATGGGTTTTAACATCATGTTTTTGTAGGCGGAAATCTTTCATGTGGAGCTGACTTAATTCGATTGCAATAATTATTAATTCTGTAGTGAAAGGGCCATTCAGATTTTCCCACATATTGTTTCTGGCATAGTGTGCATTCTAGGAGGTAAATTATGTTATGACTTCTACAGTTAGAGCCATGGTAGATTTTGAAAGTAGATTTAGTGACTGAGCTAGTGAATGAATTGGTGTGTCTAATGTGATTACAGCATAAGCTCCTTTTGTTGTTACATTGTTGGGAAAATCCTGTTGTTTTTGTTTTTGGTTTATTACGGATTACCTTATCCTTTGAAATGTGGTTACTACCTATGATTTCCTTTAGGTTCTTAGGCCTACTATATGCTAGAGGCCAAGTTCCTCAAACAATTTTTTTAGGTCTGGTTTGAGATGTAGTATTTCCCAGTGACTTTTGATTATCTGGGATAGTGGAGGCAGAGTGGTGTTGAAAGTGGTTACTAGAGGGATGCAGCTGGGTTTATTTTTAATCTTGTACATTCGGGTGTCTTCTCTATGTGTGGAAATTGCTTTATTTATTTGTTCCCTGATTGGGTGTTGTTTATAACCATGTGTTGTGAATTGATGCTCCAGATTTTTAGCATATTTATTTAGTTCTTCATTGTTGGAACATATTCTTCTGAATCTAAATGTTTGTGAATAGGGAAGCTTCTCCTTGAGGTGTTTTGGGTTGGAAGGCTTAAAATGTAGATAGTTGTGGGTGTCAGTGATTTTAGTGTGTAGTGTCATTTGTAGTTTTCTGTTTTCATCTATGTAAATGTGGGTGTCTAAAAATGTTACCAATCTTGTGGTCAAACTTGTTGATCTTGTTCATAGTCAAACTTAATTGAATCACGTACTGTGTTCAAGGTCATGAGGAATTGGGTAAGTTTGTCGTCACTGCCTGTGTATACAAAGAATATATTGTCAATATATCTTGGATAGAATACGCAGTTGCTATTGATGAGGGGATAGATATGGGTCTCCTCAAATTTTCCTATGAAGATTGTAGCATATGATGGAGCTGCAATGGTGCCCATGGCACAGCCTCTTACTTGAAGGTAGTGTGCCCCACTGAAGTTTAAAGTTCCATGAGCTTTATGATAACTTCTGGGGTGGGGGAGTCTTGTTTTCTTCTTTTAGTAAGTGCTTCCTTAAGGATGGTTAGTCCTTCAATGTGTTTAATGTTTGAATAAAATGATCTTACGTCCATAGTCACTAGAATAGCATTTCCTGGCACTGCTTGTATCTGATTAATTTTGTTTAGAAGGTCCGTTGTGTCTCTGATGTAGAATTTTACTTCCTTAGCTAAAGGCTGTATGTAATGGTCTACGTATTTGGAAATTTTGGCCATATGGCAGTTGAATGATGAAAAGACTGGCCTTCCTCAGTTGTTGCTTTTGTATATTTTGGGACGGAGATAGAAGCAAGCAGGTGTGATGTTTTTGGGTGTAAGTGTTGTGCATGTTTTCTTATCAATTATATTGTTGCAAAACATCATGTTTAGTGAGCTAGTTAATTCTTTTTGGTATTCGGGAAGAGGGTCTGTAGGTAAGCTTTTGTAGATTTCTTTGTTGGCTAGCTGATTATAATTTCTTTGATATATATAACAGTACCCTATTCTGAACTCTCATCCTGGTGTTGCTTTTCACACCACCAGTTGATTTTCTCCCATTCATGTTGTGTGCAAGTTTTTGATCTGAGGAAGTCTTACAGAAAGCTGGTTGAAATGCCATTAAGAGTAAAGGGGCAAATTACAAGAAAAGTAAAGAAGAAAGCAACTTTCAGAACAGACAATCAAATCTTGCTTGGAGAAACAATAAGTTTATTTATCAAGTGTTACAGTTTACCCTTCCTCAATTCCATTATGCTGTAGTCTACCTGACTATGGCCAGTTTATAAGTTAATAGGAGTCAGCATATCACAAAATCAATAGATATCCTGCAGACTGACAACTGGTATTCTGTTCAACAACTTAATCAGGGAACTTTGGTCTCAGGCCTAAATACAAATTTGTTTTGCAGAACCTGATCAGTAACTCTCTGATGCAACCATCAATCTGCAAATGAAAAATTTTTAGGCGGGGGAAATTTCTTCATTTAACAAATTTTTTTCTCATACAGTATCTAGCAAGGGGTGATATAGTAGGTGGTAAAAAGAGGTGGGGTGGTCAAGTAATAAACTCTTTGGGTACCTTTGGACAACTGACAAGAACTACTCAATGACTGCCCTATACGACTCCCCTCCCACAACTTGCAGATGACCATGCCTCTGCTACATCTTAACTCTCTATATACCTGCAAATGAATCCCCCATCTCATGGTATCCGCCCCCCTCATATATGTATGGGGAAAATGTTTCTTTCAGATGACAGGTTACAAGTTGATTTATGTATGTGTATAGTAAGAAGATCAGGGAAAGGGGTTTGGTGACATCATCCACTGGTCACATACCAAGGAGGTCAGCAGAATTTTCGGACTTCATAGAAAATCAAAGAAAAATTAAGAGATAATATTAAAAAAGTAACAAAATTCCATGACTGAATTTTGTCTAAGATCCTATCTATCATGACCAGCTGGTTTATTTCAGTTGCTGGTTTTCTAGCAGTAAGTAGAAGTGTGGGGTAAATACTTCTTGTTTTGCCTAATGCTAATTGTTAAAACCTTGTTAAGACAATTTCAGTGCTAAATCAATTTCTTGTAATTAAATGCTTTTTACTTCTTTTACAGCCTACTACAAAAAAAAACTCGGGGTAAAATACAAATAACTTATCAATTCCCATTTCAACCAACTAGGAGATATAGATTTGCATACTTGTAAAACCCACACCAACAACTCTGTTACATATATAGTTTTAAAGTATGCAATATCAGGGATAGTGTATGTAAATATAAAAGTGAATAGTGAGGTCAACACCTCTCTGAGTTCAGTGTGCACTTATAAATAGATAGATAGAGAAAGAGAGACAATTATCTATATATGCTGCATTCATTTTTTTTTATAGGAGTAGTCCTTTTGCTACATATGGTACTTTATGTAAATGGGAGCAAATACAGTAATTTAATTTATTGTGGCAACATAATAGCAATTTATGCAAATGTGGCCAAATACAGTAATTTAATTTGTGGCTACATGTGGTAATTTATGTGAATATGGACAAATATGGTAATTTAATTTATTGTGGCTACTTTTGGTAATCTCTGTGAATGTCGCCAAATACAGATTATTTAATTTATTGTAGAAACATGGCAATTATTTGAATGTGGCCAAATACAGTAATTTATTGTGGCTACATATTGTAATTTATGTGAATGTGGCCAAATACAATAATTTAATTTATTGCAGCTACATAATGACAATTTATATGAATGTGGTCAAATATAATAATTTAATTAATTGTGGCTACATGTAGTAATTTATGTGAATGTGGCCAGATACAGATAATTTATTGTGGTGACATATGACAATTACTTGAATGTAGTCAAATACAGTAATTTAATTTACTGTAGCTACATATGGTAATTTGTTTGAATATGGCCAATTTATAGAAGTTTATTTTAAAATGGCCCAGTATTTTAGTTTATTGGTTATTTAATTTAATGAAGACTCTGTGTGGGGATAATAATGGTTATTAGCCTGGAAAGCAAAATCATCATACTAAGTTTAAATCTTGACTTATACTCCTTTCTATTTTTGTGTATTTGCTATTTTATTTAATATCTTTTCCAAATAAATCAAGCAATTTTATCATCAGAGGATACATTGCAAACCATTAACAATTTTTTATGAGTATTTCTTTCCTTTTAATTCTGGTTGCTTTTCATTTTAACTACTCAGACTATCATTCTAATACTTACAAAATGATGGTCTGAGTAGTTGCAATGAAAAGCAATTACAATTAAAATGAAACAAATGCTTGTCCAAAATTAGTAATTTACTCTCTTGTATGTTAATCAACAAAGCTACAACAATTAGCTACAAAGTCATTTATCATAGTTACTTACATCCTTCAAATGTTTTGTTGAGAAACAATTGTCTCTCTTGTATATATGCTTCTTACTCAACAAATAACATGTAAGCAAGAAAGTACATTATAAAAACAGCGCTAAAACTTTAAAAAACATTTTTTTCTATGTAATTATTTCAGCCTCAAAGAAGACAAAATTGAGCAAAGGTAGGAATCGATCAAAACCAACCAAGCTGACTGGACCTCCGGTGTATTTGACTTCTGTCCAGTCACAGGTAAAGTATTAAAAATGAAGCCAATTCATTTTCTAATTTGATTCACCTGTATTAATTTTGGGTTGAGTCAGAAGTAATTTCCGTTTTTGGGAATCAATTGGAATGATGAATGCATCATTCTAACTACTAATCATATATGGCATTTAGGAATAAATTTGGGGTACACACTCACGAATCTTAGCTTTTTCACAGGAATGGCAGTGTATGCAACTAATGAAAGAATAAATTTAATCCCATTAATAGGAGGACTGAATTTGTGTTTATGTCACATAATGTCATGAGAGTTCAAGTAAAGGAATAATGCTATGGAGACATTTAGAAAAATATGTAGTGTTTATGTCAAAATGTCTGGTAAAGACAAAACATTTGTAAAGTTTACTTCTGGAGAAAGCTAGAAGCAATACATGGCAAAATTACTCAAATTGGCCAAGATGATAAACACAACACAATCTACTATTCGACCTTGCTTTGAATATTTCTGCTACATCTGGTCTGGTGTACCTGTTATATATTTAGAGATTCTTGATAAAATCCAAAGAAGAATATGCAATGTTTTTCTTCCTAACATGATATCCCAGTTTCAATCACTTTCCCACTGCTGTAACATAGCTTCCCTGTGCCTTTTCTATAAATACTTACATGGTAATTGTTCTGAACTTTCCTCTATGGTACCTAGGCTTGATGAATTTAATCGCAGTACTAGACTGGTGGCAAGGTCTCATCATTTTACAGTTTAAATGGCTAAATGTAACCGTTCTATGCTTTTTTTCTCTTGCATTTCTCACTTTTATAACTCTCTTTCAGTTTATTGCTTCCCAGTCAGCTTTGTATTTAAATTTTTGAAGATCAATGTCAAGCATTATCTTCTGTTTCTTAATTGTTGTTCTTTCTCTTTAAAATTATTTTTCCTCATAGTCTCTAATATTCAGTAAGCCTTTGCATCTTAGTGGTGGTATTGACTTGCTTGGGGTGAAATGATTTTAAAAAAATATGTTGATACTTAGTAAAGACAGTAGTAGTCAGCAAATTGGCTCTTAATGAAAAGAACTAAGTAGATCATTGATAAACAAAAACAGTAATTAGTCCCAACTCAACCTGATACATTGTAATTATTGCACTCTTTCAAAGATGTTGAAACTGAGTGACTTATTTTGCAAATAGTTGATGTTTTATATCAATGGATAACATGTCAGCTTTACAGTTTGTTGCTAGTGGCATAATTTCTTCAAAGTTTATTTTGCCTTGCAAATATCTCCTTCATGATGTGTCCCTAGTTCTGCTTGATCTTCTCAGCTGACAACTATTTTATAGATGTAATTACCATATTAGGCAACATATAAAACATACTTTTTCCAAGAAAATCTTATATGCAAAGTTAGCACTTTTTGTAGACTAATTCTATCCCAACACTCACTGCAGTTATAATTTTACCCGAGATGGTCACTTACTCAAACAACATTATTAACATCTTCCTTACTATTACTCATACTGTTAAACCCAGCTATAGCAGAATAAACCAAGCTTGGGTGGTAGGAGAAGAATTACTCTTGTTAAATTGAAAATAGCAGAACCAGTCACAAAAATGTATATGGAACATTTTATAATATTAGTTATCAGTAAGTGAAGTCAACTTCATAGTACAGAGCAAGAGGATGAGACAGAGAGAAAGACATGGAAGGAAGATGAATTACTATTTTTGACAAAGATGACAAAACAAAGAAAACTGTTATCTATAAAACTGACCACCCTATGAAAAGGCACACAGAAGGATGAAGGAAGCATTGGAGAACAGACAAGGTAGACAGCTGCTGGATTGTGTAAACCCCCACCTCACCTACACCTCATCTCTACTTTGCTTGATTATAAAATCTGGTTTACTGCTAGAAATTGTTTGGTTTTGCACTCATGGGTAAGGATCTGGCCAAAGGGTAATTTTAAATCACAAACATTTGACTGGAAGAAACTGCACCCTATCAACAAACCTGGTGTCTGGTCTGAGCTTTAATGCAACACACTGTGGATAAGACAACAGGGAATCACTTCACTGTCTTTATCAAGAAACAGTAATTTGCAGACATTAAAGAAAAGAAGCAGTGGAGTGCCATGATCACTGAATAAACATAGCATTAAAAAAACTGTAAAAGAAATTATTGTAACAGTGTATTGGTGACAATCCATTTTATTAGCATTATCATATCGGATATTTTCAATATTGTAATGGCTTTATGTTCAAATGTACTGCTAGCTTGCTTTTTATATATAGCAATGTTTTCTGCTAAAGTGCTTTTGTGATATTTTGCAATGTAATGATTATCTAATGTGCCAGTGTGACATATGCAATCAAATAAGGTAGTCACAGGAGGATTTTATTCTAAAAATAACGTATCATGCTTTTAAGACAATTTGTAATAATTTGTATTCTGGAAAAACAATCACTGTTTTGATGACAAAGTTAAAGGAAGCAAAAAAAAATAAGTTATTAATAAGATGTAAATATATTTTGCTTTTTAATTGAATTAGCAGTTTATGACTTGATTAATTGTTCTAGATATAAACTTAGTATATGTGTTCATTACTTCAGAAATTTAGATTGATTTGAATTAAAACATTGCCAATTATCTTTCAAGTAATATATATTGTATGGTGGGTAAATTGACACCATTTTATATTTTTAATTTCACACAGGTGTGTTGTTTATGGTTTTGTCAACTGCACACTATAGTAGGGTCATTTGGGCACCATCTGTGAGAAAAAGAGCACCATGATGCAATTCACTCCCGCCAGAAATTTGGAAATGACATGTTGTACTGCTTGGCATTTGTTCCAGAAGCTCCAATATGAACATTTCAGAGTGTTTGGGTGTCAATGTGAGGACAGTGCAGAGGATTCAGAAAGATTTGAGTGAGTCTGATGGTGATTACAAAAGGGTTTGGAGTGATCACTAGTGATGGCGATGTTATGCTTCTATTCATCTTGCCACAGGGCCCCGGACTCAACTCAGAGGCCTACATCAAGTGCCTTGATGAGGTAATGCTGCCCTGGGTCAAGAAGATGGTTGTTGGAAGAACCTGTATCTGGTAACAGGGCTCTGCACCATGCTACACATGCAGAAGAACCCAGTCATGGCTGTCAGACAATTTCTGCAATCACATCACTCCTTACATCTGCCCACCTAACTCCCCAGACTGCAACCCCCTTGATTATTATGTGTGAGTGTAAATGAGCAAGAGACCAACAAAACCCCTTGTAACACCAAAGATGAACTGAAGGCAAAGATTATGGTAGCATTCACCAACTGAAACAAGGAGACTGTCCAGAACAGTTGCAGGAGATTCCGAAGTTGTCTGTAGGCCGTGGTTGCAGTCGTTAGCGATTTTATTGAATAAATTTACTCTTTAGTATTATCAGGTATTTTTGTGTAATTTTGGTAAATATATCTGTTAAAATGAGATGTTAGTGTTATTTTCATTTTTGCATAATTTAGACCACTATCAGTCTCATCAAACTCTTTCTAAATCCTCTGCATTGTCCTCAGATTGACACCCAAACACTTTGAAATGTTTGTATTAGAGTTTCTGGTGCAAATGCCAAGCAGTACAGTATTCTGTTTCCAAATTTCTGGTGTAGTGAATTGTATCATGGTGTTCTTTTTTTCTCAGATGATGCCCAACTAATCCTACTACTATATTGTGCAGTTGACAAAATCAAAAACAAAGTGTCTGTGCGAAATTAAAAATACCATATGGCGACAATTTACCCATAGCACCACACACACACATGCGCACACACACACACACACACACACACACACACATGCGCACACACAATGTTTCACCTTTCTTGGAAGATCTTCTATTATCCCAATGTGGGATGTTTAATAACAAAAGTGATGCAAACATAAACAAAAAGAAAAAGGACATAAATGAAAGCAGCTAAATTATGTACCCCCAAACATATATTAAAACAAATTTTAAATGGAAAATTATCAGCATTTATCTTTGTGTGTATGTGTAGGCACATCAACATAAACATAAATCACTAAATTTCTAAAGAGTGAAACGTTTTGCACAAAAACTTTTCCACTTCGTCAAACTTCATTCCCTTAAAATTGTTCTTGATATATAAAAATATGTATTGTAATCCCATAAAATAATAACAATTTTACCTACCATAGTCTTACACAGATCCCACCTTAAAATAAAAAAAACAGATAGAAAATGTGTGAACGTGCGTGCATACATATATATGTGTTTGTGAGAAAAGAATATTCCTTGAACAAAATAGACGCGCAGTCTGTGTATTGACACTGCGACTTGTGAAAGAAGTTTGCTACACAATCCAACATTTATTACAGCAATCATATACACCCAGTCTCACACTGTTCATATATGTTTATGTTTGTGTGACCTGCAATGCATGAACATGCATATATGTATGTCTGTGTACATATGAGTGGCATTCTGACAACAATTTTTCTTCCCACTACCATAAAAACACCAATATACACAACCATAAATAAATCCAAAATTTTAAAATTAATTAGTTTATCTGACAACTGCAAATAGAGGGAAACCTAGGGTCACAAACTCACATCAATCCAACTAAATATATATATATATATATATATATATATATATATATATTATAAAATATAGTTTTAAGGTATGTTATATTTATGGATTAAAGTGCTCAATATCATTGATAGAGCATATGTAAATATAAAAGTGCACATTGAAGTCAACACCCAGAGGCAACAGTCTGTTTGATGCTAAATGCAGTCATCAAGCCTGACAATTAAATTTAGCATGAAACAGACTGTCACCTCTAGATGTTAACTTCAATATCCACTTTTATATTATTGTGGAGTAAAGAGTACACCCCACCTCCATAAATCTATAAAGATACTATAAAGAGTTCCATCATACAAGGTCATGGTAGTCATATTGGAGTCAGTCTTCATGCTAACTACAAAGATGTATGGCAATAACCTAATCATTGTG